AGGTTTTGTATTTTTTAAAAACTTAATTTCTGCAGAGCAGGTTTAAGTTTTCAGCAGAATTGAGATGAAGGTATGGAGATTTTTCCATATCGCTCTTTGGTTTCATTCAGTTTTTCTACCTGATGTAATTGAAGGAAATATTAAATGAGGCCAAAGTCTTTAAAGTGACATTGTGTGGGGTTGATTCTGGGCACTGAGTGGCTGAGGTTGAATTTCTTCTCTGCATCCTCATTTCACACCCTGGAATATTGCTCTGTTTGGTCTCCCTGTCTGAAGCCTTCCTCCAGAAGGCTTGCACATGTTTTATGTGCAAATACCCTCACAATCCAGAAAGCTGAAGCCAAAAACTTGCAGAGACCTTAAGAGAGAGTAAGGAGTCTTCCATGCTGTAAGGCAAAGCGTTTCAGGGGCTATGGGAAAGTCAAAACATCCCTGCTCTGGAGGCATTAAAAGGAATGAAGAACAGGGACAAGATCAGACTGTGGGAGAAGAAAGTTTTTCAGGGGACATTTACAGAGGGAGAGAATGAGTCAGTCAGCAAAGGACCACTGGCTCATCACACGTGCTGGGCACGTCCTTGGGACTGGGCACAGTCCTTGCCAAGGAATCCTAAGCCCTTCACCTTCACCTCTGAGTGTATTGATCTCATGACCCCATGGGGTCCTTTTTCAAAAGTACCTAGAAAACAATGTTTTAACATGCAGACAGGTCTAGAAATACTCTCTGGACACAAACTAAGTTATGGAGGGTCACCCCAGCATGCTCTTCCAGCATCCAGGAGTGCCAGCCAGATGCAGGTGTGCAGACAGCTATGGACCCTGTGGGAACAGAGAGCCGCTGGGCCCTACGGGCACCCTGGAAGCTCTCATTATGCTCTGGACACCCCCCAGAAGTGTGATATTAGGAGCATGGAGGGACTAGAGGGCTGCACTCAAAAGGACCTGGGCTACTAACCTGAATAACAGCCTTGGAGTATGAAAGGGCAGGAGCTGGGCGAGGTCTGTCCTGGGTGTGAGGACATAGGCATAATGGTTCAGGGACCCACAGCACAGAGATCATGAGTCCAGAGGCTAAGGCTTTCTGCATGGACTTCTAGAGAGATGTGGGTCTGCCAGACTTTGAAATGTGTTTCCAAACAAAACAGCAGATGGTCTTATTCCTCTCCCCCATATCAAAGACCCTCAGAGGTCACCCAGCTTAAACGATAAACAAGCCTCAGGAAGAAGTTGAAGTTCCAGTCAAACCTTTGGGCCATTTGTGAAGTGTGTGTGTTCATGAGTGCATGTGTGTGTGTGTGTGTGTGTGTGGCGAGGGTGAGACTGTGCATGGTGGTGGGTGTGCCCACATCTCCTTCCTTCCCAGAAAAATGAGTGCAAACAGACCTCTGGAGCATCTTTCCTGGCAGAGCTGCCCTTTGGCATGGAGACCCATCCTGGCAGCTCCATTCTTGAAGGAGGGCTTGGTTTTGCATGCCCTGCCCCACCACCTGCTGCAGGAGGACTGTAAATAACGGTGCTGACCCCAGTGGGATCCCTGAAGACAGGGGGCTCGTTCTCAGCCAGGGATGATGAAATGCATGCACATCAGCTGCTGTCTCTAAAGCACTCGTGACTCTTTCTTTGGAGCACATGGCTTTCTCCTCTATTACAGAAGAAAACAAAGGAGAACATGACAGGTGCTCCAAGTTCAGCAGACGACTGACTTTTATACTTGTTACTTTTACAAGGAAGAGATTAACTTTTTAAGGCAGAGAAATTCAGTTTAATTCCCAAAGATTTGTGTAATGGCAAATATCAAAACAAGTGGTTGCATTGCATTAAAATTCCAAGAAAATGTCCTCAATTGTCCCTGCCTAGTTTGTTTGCTCAAGAGTGAAGTATAAAGGAAGAAAATCTGATTTTCATCTCTCCGGGTTTCACAGAATAATGTGTTGTAGAACAAAGCCTGAATGCTTGAAAATCACACTTCTTTCCCTAGCTTCCTATTTTATCTTACCTATTTTGAAATCCCAGTCAGAAAATATTTTATATTTCCACCGATCTCATGCCTGTGCTTGTTACCTGATGCTAAAACAAGTCTATCAACATTACCTTCCCCTTGTTTCCCGCCCACTGAGATGGCGGACCATCCTGTCTTCAGTGGCCTTAGACTCTCTGGAAATGGTTGGTCCTATCAGTTCTATCAGACAGCCGAGGGTTGGGGTCAGTCACTTTTGGCCACTTCTGCTCATTTCTGCTGGAGCAATGCTTAGCAGTTCTACCTAATGCCACCTGTAACACTTCTCAGAGAGCACAAAGCACTGAAAAGAGATAGGATGCAAATACCACTCCATGAATGAGGTCTTCCTAAGGCCAGATTCCTCGTAGACTGTCCCTCCCAGAATGGTTTGGGGTTTGTTGACTGCTTCCATTTCTTTTTTAATAGATCACATTGTTTTCCAATGATTCCTAGGAAGAATTCTACATAGGTCCTATTAGGAATTCTGGATTTTAAGAACTATGAGGGATCCTAGTGTTAGAAAACTACTTTATTACTGACCAGGATGATTTCGTCTTTAATAATGCTATGTGCTCCACAAGCCTGAATAAAATTTGAGCATTTGCTCTCAGAAAAAGCATTTGGACATCTTTTGCCCTTGCTTCACATTCCTGAGCACAGGGCCATGTCAGCCTCACTGCCACTTAAGACAACTGAATCAAGACTAGGGCTGAGGGACTGGGATTAAGTGAAAGGGGACCTTTCGTGCATGTTGGTTGACTTTGGTTAATTCAGAGCAAGGTTTTACCATTGTTGCTCGGCCACTGAGAAGCCCGGAAGGCACTTTTCTCATTCATAGCCCTGATGGCCCATCTCTGGTGATCTGGGTGTCAGAAGAAGTTTCCATAGATAAAGAATCTAACAGCATGTAAAAAGGGTGAGAGGTTTTCCCTTGGTGTATTTTGAAGAATGAAGAACTTCCCATTAGGTGAGCAAAGAGTTGATAATGCAGAGGCATAAACAGGTGCTTGCCTCTGTTTTGGAAGGTTGCTCTCGGAACCTGCTTGCATGGAGAGCTGAAGGGTCTTAGATGAAACAACTGTACAGTCAATTACGAAAAGGCAAAACAAAACACAACACACAGAACACTTCTGAGATACTGAGGGTAATAATGTAATAGCAGCAATTGAATACCTGGAAAATGGATTGTATTAATGCAATTTTCCACCAATTAGCTAAAACTCTATATCTAATATTTTTAAATTTCAGATATTAGTAAACACAGCATTTTGGGGATTAAACAGTTTATCTTAGTGAGATTGTGTTATTATTTATTTATTGTCTTATCTTTTCGACTTCCTTTATATTCAAAGTGTTTAAGAGATAGGCATGGTGTCACACTCCTGTGATCCCAGTGACTTGGGAGGCTGAGGCAGGAGGATTGCAAGTTCAAACCCAGCCTCAGCAACTTAGCAAGACCCTGTCTCTAAATAAAACTAATAAAAAATAAATAAAAAGCTAGGATGTAGCTCAGTGGTTAAGCACCCCTGGGTTCCAGCCGGGGTACCAAAACAAAGCAAAATAAAAAATAAAAAACAAAGAAGTGTTTAAGATGGCTACATTTAGTTATAAAGGCATTTAACTGTTTAAGACACAAGAAGTTCCACATGCCACTTGAGACACCCTTAAGAGAAGCACTTGGGTTTGTAGGTACCTCATATATTCACAAATAAAATACTGTGCATATTTAAGGCAGACAAAATTCTAAGAAGCGCCATGCCTCTCATTATAGAAATGCAATTAATCTGTGTAGTTATGCTTTTCAAATAGCAGACATTTAAAATAATGGATGAATATGTAATTTGCTAATCAGTACTGGACAGTTCCCAAGGAGGTGTCATCATTAGTTTCATCATTTACTGTTTCAGAAGAGTTTCATGGTTGAACCTGGGAAGCAGGGAGAACCCACTCCAGGGTGACATTATCCCACCTATAGCACTTCACAGCGACAGTGATCACGCCTTACAAATCAAGTCAATGTGTTGAATTCCTATTGAGTGAGTTACACATAGGACATTTATGTGAGTGGCTTCCCCCATACTGAATTCCTCATTCATAACCACACACTCAAATGAACTTCAGAGCAACATATTGTACTTTAAGAATTAAATGATGTTTTAGTTTATGCTTTTATTTTTTTGCCTCTGTTCTCAAAGTGATAATAGAGATCTCATTTACCATGCATGAACACTTATATTCCCTTTCTGAAAACATTTCTGATATTGTTGGTATAGGAAAGAAAAGTCATTTATTTGGAGGTTGCCTTATTAATCTACAGCTTTCGGTAAATATCTAGATTATCTGGTCAGTCAATTTGTCTCCACAGCCTAAGAAAGAAGAACCACTAGCTGCCGTGTTCAATGCAAATGAGTTGGTATATGAATATTTATAAGGACATCAATATTCACAGTATCTTACAATCATGCTCCAAGCTAAATAAAAATAAAAGTAAACTTCCACAAATATTACAGTATAATAAGATAAGAGCTGAAAGATATGTACAAATTCATTGATAACATCTGTGCAATATTGTGGACAAAACATTTAAAAAGAAATTTACATAAAACAAGGTAGATAAATTTATCAAATGTTGATAAATTTTCAGAGACAGTATAAAAGTACACAAAACATGGAAAAAAGAGAAAGAATTTTAAAGAATAGCCACTATGCCAATACATACAGTACATGTTTACTACATTTAAATTACAGAATGATGGAAACCAGAGACAAAAACGATTTGGTAACAAACAGCAAAGAAAGTTTCACCAGTCACAAAGAAGAAAGACATTCCTCTTGAGATGAAAACACAGAAGGCCAGAACTCATTCCCCACCCCATACACAGAGAGAAAAATAAAAGCAAATGCAAGAGTTGTCTACAGCGACACACGACAGACAGAAGTGGGAAGCATTTGGCATGTTGCATCACAGGAAGTCAATCACGATTGGCTAACGATGATGGTACCTGGCTCTGTTGCAGGTCACTGGCTTGCCTGAGAGGAGGAGCCGAGGGCGGAGGCACACCTGATGTGGATGCAGATCGGCCTAACTTGCAGCTTACTTTAGGTTCTGCAAACAAGGAGAAAAGACAAAAGGTTAGCTGAGTAACATCTGCAGAGTTGGGATGGCTTTCTGTCTCCCTTTTGGTTTTGCTAAGTGTTCTGGGAATATGCAGAAACAGAGAAAGGAAAAGAAAACAATTATTAGCCTCTGATGTTGGCTAATAATTGGCGGGTGACTAAACACCTTCATAACAATTGACTCGGAAAGGAACTTTATTCTCAGATCAGCTCTTGGGGGATAAGGAACAAATCTCTGGAAGCCCAGGCCTGATCTCTTGCACATTTTATCCCATTTAAGGTTAGTTTCTGTGGAGTGATTGCAGTAGCAGGGATACCCATTACAGGGAAAGCAAGTAACCTGATTATTTTTGATGCTTCATCTTTAGCTTTGGTCCAGAGGACTCCTACATTCTAAAATGTTACCTATGCACTCCAAAGCCTGCCTGTCTCCTTCCTTCCCTTCCTTCCTTCCCTCCCTTCCTCCCTCCCTCCTTCCTTCCTTCCTTCCTTCCTTCCTTCCTCCCTCCCTCCCTTGACTTCCATGACTACATTCATCATATTTCCTATGATGAGTTAAAGTTTTTATTTAACATATTTCTATTTTGTTTACATTTTATAATGATCCTCTAAGAACTCCATGATGTTTTGTGTGGCAGAATATGAAGTAGGAAGGATTCTGGATCCATGGATTTATTTTCCAACCTATCCAGAAATCAAACGTATTTCAGAATGCATTCATTTAATTGCATATATATTATTCTAAGCAAATAGTGATAGGTGGAATATTTTATCACCCAGAGTAATGGGGAAGAGTCGAGTTGATGGTAGATAAAAAGATGGAACAAAATTACTTGGAAAGTTCAGAGAAAAATACCCGGCATATACAAGAGGAACGTCGCTCCTCACCTCTGCTAAACAGACTCAAGTGTACACACACACATGTACTATACTTCTCTTCTCTTCCCCTTTCTGTCTATAACCCTCATCACTTCACCTCTCTCCTTTCATTGTCTCCTGCTTCACGTCCTTGTTCTGCACTTTCCCTTTAGAAGAGCACTCCTGTGGCTTCTGATCCAGTCTTTTCTTTCTCGAGTCGGGTACAGACTCCGGTAGCTCTGTCCTCTCCCTGCGCTCTTGCTTGGTCTTGGATCTCAGTATTCTGCACACCAGGCATTATACACACATGCTCACCAGGAAAACAAGATAAAGCTTCCTCTCAATGTCTGAATCCCCCTAGTGATTTACCCATGTTTCGCAGGAGTGCCACCTCCATTTTTCTGAACAAATCTTCTAATAGTTTTCTAATATTTATCATCAGTTTTCTTTTCCTTTCTCTGTAAAGTAAGTTCTGTGACAGTTTGTCTTTTTCTTTGCAATAGCTCCTGTATTTATCTCATGTCCCAGAAACCTCCTTGCTGGTTCCCAGGATCTCTCTGCTCACAAGTAATGAGGACACAATGCCACATAGATGACTTTCAGCACACCTACCTTGTTCAAAATTTTTTTCTATGACTCCATACTTAATATTGTAAGAAATTTAAAATCACCTAATTTTCACAAGTACCATCCACCCTCTTTTCCATAGCTCCCTGCTCCCAAGAACACAGACATCCCGGGTCCCCTCGGGATCCACATTGAACTGCTTCCATCCTTCACCTCAAGCTGTTCTCATCCACAGACATTTATCGAGCCAAACCTCACAGGTGCCCAAAACCCACTTCAAGGTGCACTTCCTGTGTAAAGTGCACAGTGATCTTGCTTTTCTCTCTCTTGTGAGTTGCCTTAGCACATAACAGGGTTTAAACTACTTGATAAGGTTTTGAGCATTTTTGCTGGTAGGAACCATATAGTAAGTGTCAATTATTATGCATTTTTCTGTCACCAAACATACCCAAATTTACCTTTTTATCAATGCTACTTCTAAAAGCAAGTAGAGGAGATCAGGTAACACAGAATATAAAACCTGAAATCCAGGCCTAGGTCCCCAGCTTATTAAGTTGGTGGCCCTCATTCAAGAGGATGTCACCCTCTAAGATCCATTTCAGAAAATCCTTTCTTAGTTTTGTTATGGTGATGAAATATCTGCCCACACATTCCTCAAAATACCATTGAATTCCTGCTTCAGAGAGAATTAAACCGGTGTATCCTATGATGACATAGATAAAATATCACCATAACTTATAAATTAACCCCATTTAATAGAAGGCATAAATCCTTGCACACCTTAGGGTACCATCTTTTATTATATAAAATAACAGGTGAATCATCCATCAGAAACCTGGTTGATGAGTTTTTATAATGAGCCAATTTGTCCATGTATTCATTCCTGGGTTCACACACTCAGTCCCAAGAAGTGAAAAAACTCAATGTTTTTCTTAGGAAAGGATGACAAATATTTATTTACTATAAGGCTCTTTCCAAGTTTATGCTAAAGGTATGATCTGAAGAAAAGAGATTGACAAATGGACGGCCTTTCACGTCACCAAATGTACCTAACTAAGGATAAACTGCTCCTGTGGAGGTTTCCTGACTTAATCAGACTCTTTCAAATGTGGATACTGATATCTCCAATGTGCAAACTGAGCCTTTCCAAAATCCAGGCAAAATTTTGATTTCATCTTGACCTGTAAAGGCCTTGTTTTGACTCTTTGGGTTCAGTCTGGGTTCTGTGAAGGTTCATCAAGCCCCACTTAGGTCTGTAATAGAAACCAATAGCCACCAGTTACGTGTAGCAATGAAAACCCCTAGCTAGTCACCTGTAGGGCTAGCTCTGGGGTCAGGTCACCTGGTGGTGGAATGTTCAAACCCATGCGGGCTATGACTCCACCTGCAGAGGGACATTGAGGTGATTCCAATCAATTATGCACAAATTATGCACAATCATGCACAAATTTGTATATAGGCACATGCACTATAATGTTGATGCTTAAAGCTTTCGTGCAGTAGGGACATTTTAAAAATTTTCATCTCTCTCATTTTGGCTCTTCTGTCACTTTCAAATGCTGTAACATAAAGGCATTCTGAATTATCATGGTATTTATGTGCCTGGGTTGATGACATGAATCTTTATGAAGTTGCTCTGACTGAGGTTTCTTTAACCAAATTAATTGTACATGACAGTCCTGGAAATCCTAAAGTAGATCCTACCTGTAATCAAGCCTCTTACACATCTCTAGGCCTGTGATATTAAAGTTAAATTGTCCAACTCACTTCTTACCTTTGGTGATACAGTATTCACTTAGACTTAAAGAGCAAGTATTACATCACCAAAATACTCTGTTTTCATCCTGATTTAAAAAAAAAAAATGCCAAGGCTTTTTGCAGTCCAAAAACAAGAGCTCTATACCTAGAAAGAAATGTAAAATAGAGCTTTTCTACCCCAAGAAACATTCATTCCACTAAGAGATTAATTTTGAAGTAGCAGGCACCTGTTTTTATTGCAAAAGAAGAAACTTCCTTTGAAGACTCTATGGATAACATTTCAGAAGTGTGGGCTGTTGTTGCTTGTGCAATTTGCCTGAAGAGTAGACAGAGAACAAGAAAGATGAAGTAGATTCAAAAGGAGATGAAGAGAGGGAGACAGGGAGGGAGGAAAAGGAAGGAAGGAAGACAAGGGGAGGGATGGCGACTCACACTCTAGCTCCTTGGAGTAAACAATTATCAAGAGATGACGGACCATGAGGTACTTCCAAATCAGTCGTGGCTCATCATTTTTTTTTTTTTTTAATTAAGTAAGGAGTCACTGGACTGTGTTTCTTATTACAACTTTCTTTTTACTCTTAGTGCATGCAACCTCCCATTGCTTTTCATTACTGTTTTTTAAGATCACCATTTCTCATCTTCCCCTTGATTATGTCCCTGGTCATCACTAAAGGATGACCTCCAAGGTGTCACTGCTCTCCTTTGGAGTACCAGTGTTCTCTTTGCTCTCAGAAGGCAAAGGCACACTTGTGTGTTCTCGACAACTGGATCTTCACAGCTGTGAAGAGATTAGTGCATTTTCACAAAAGAAAAAAGAAAGAAGATATACTTTCTTCTATCACCAAAGGATGAAATCAGTCAAATTTTGATGAGGCATATCTTTTCTCTACATTGTTTTAAAACCATCCATATTTTTTGGTGTACAAGCAAAGACAGATAATGATTGCCGCAGTCTGGCTGGGCACAATCAGGAGCCACTTGTCAAAAGAAACTAACTTTATTTTTAGAACCAAACACGCCAAACAAACAGCCTCTCAGGAAAAACCCCTCAGAGCCTCAACTGCCACCACAGGCTTTCCACAAGCCTGTCTCTCCCCCCACAAGCTTCTCTCCACCTCCCACAATCCTCCTGCTCTTGAGGCCGATTGGCTGGGTCACGTGGGCAGAGCCAAAAAGTCCCCCAATGAGCAGCTCCGTGGTCTGAAAGGGCAGGGAAACAGTCCAATGAGCATCACCGCAGAGGAGCCAATCAGCTAGATGTTGCTGGGGCCGCTGTGAGCCAATCATCAGCCGGCAGCTGGATTGCTGGCAGCTGGAAGTTTGCTGGGGCCCCTTCGGCTGTGGCTCTCAACAAATGATGATCCACCAATTCAGACTTTCTGCTGAGTCTACTGAATGATGTGGGGATTACATGGGACTAAGAGAGCAACCTTTTCCCTGCTCCCCAAAATACCAAGTGTTCTTATACAAGCTCCAATTTCTGGGGAAGGCATTTTTTGAAACAACCCATATGTTATTTGAGATAAACTGGCACCTGAGAACAAGGGCCAGGCTTGCCATGATTACATTTAAACTTTCATGGGTTCCAAACACTTTGTTTCAAAGCTTTTACCACACATCATAGCAAACAGAGTAAGATGCCCTCATGCCCCACAGTAAATGTAATTTTTCCTGTATACTTTGAATGGATTTTTATGATTTTTCTGTGTAATTATTGAACTGTAAAGAGCCCCCATAATTCACAACTGGTACGATATCTACACAGTAATCATGCTCATACAGCAATTCTCTAAAGATTGAACAATC